TAAGGGATTTTTTCAGCAAAACATATTAAGATTTTCTTCTCAGCATGCACTATGACAGTCATCAAGCACTGCAGTAGGTTCATTAGCTCTTTTCAAAACATTCTCTCTACTTCTAGGTTTGTTCTAACGCTCAATATTCAAAATACAACTTTCAGGCAAGTTGAAAGACAGCAGCACAAAGTGGGTACTTTCAAAAATTCCAGGCTTACCTTTTCCAAATTTCTGAATGAGATGAGGTGGAATAGGACACTGACGGCTTTCCCGATTAAACCACTTATTAGTTGATGAGAACTGGCGGATGGCCAGTCTTATTGTGTGTGGTTTTCTTCCATCTTTGTGTATTCTAGAGAACATTAACATGCACAAAGCCATAAGCATTCCCACAAATATTTTTCAGGGGGCCAAGGAAACTGTCACAGCATCCAGTTTAAGTTACAAGGCCATTTAATGTAAACATTAGGGATCTCTCTCAATTCCTAAACGGATTACTATGGATTATATGGGGAACTTTTGGTCCTAGCTGCATCCTGTATAATCTAGTATCTATAACTGTAACTATGAAATGAATATACTTTCCAGACTACCAGGAAAAAAAAAGATCTGCTTAATGGGAGACAAGTGTAAGTGGCGAAAACTAAGGGAGTGAAATTAGAGGAAGCCACACACTGAAAAGAAAGATTTAGGGCTTTTCATAGAAAATAAGGGAGATGAGGGAAGATGCACTAAAATACTGTGATACACCATCAGAACAGTAGAAAAGAATCAGCAAATGGAAAAAGGCACAAGTGTTTGTCAAGGAAGCTGCATGGGAATGGCACGGGGAAGGAGGATGGAAAAGACAGTTTTAAGAGGAAATTAAGGCAACACAGGAGGAAATCCACGACTTGAGACAAAACCAAAGCAAAGGGGAAGAGCAGTTGGAAAGGCAGGTGCTGCCCTTCAAGGGCATTTTGGTGGAAGAAATATTACAGAGTATATAGTATACCTTACATATGCTCAAAGTCCTTGCACGACACAAAGTCAGTCAGCAAAAGACAGTCACCTGTCTAGGAGGTTAGCAAGCAGCCCTTCAATTTTCTCTTTAACTTGCACTTCTGATGAACATTTTTTAAAGGAATCTTCTTCACTAAGGGACTGAAATTAAAAAAAAAAGCCCTTACAATTTTATAATTAAAATTCTCATCAAATCAAGCATGCAGGATGAAATTTAAGATGCCTTTGACAGTCAGAGCTCAACTGATTTTAAGGTACATTATACCTTAGTATTTCCTAAGTTTTACCAGGGAATGTATATACAAACCTGTAGGAATTGTTATATTAAAGTAGCCCTGTAAGTAGGAATCACTTAAATTAGTCTAGTGAAGCTGTATAAGAATCAAAGCATTTTTTTTCCCTTTTAAAAAGTACTTCAGAACAAGACTTGTACCTGAGGAGGGCCCGATGGAGTCACCGGGGAGTCATCCTCTCCATAGCTGAGTTTTTGGATACGCTGAGCAGCAGAAACACCAAGTTCCTTCTCTAACACAGCAGGTGAAGCCGCTTGGAGATCACACACACTTTTAAGACCCAGCATTTCAAGGCGTTTACTAGTTTTATAGCCAATGCCTAAATGAAATGTATATTAAACACACAGAAAAGTTACTGAAGGGTTATTAAAAGCTGTCAGACCGATCAAACAAAACATCTACCTCTCCTGCTGGCAAAAGCATCCAGTAGCACTGGGGAAAAATAAAGGCAAGGGGGAATCTGCCACTGGAAAAGACACAGAACAAAGAACTGCCAAGGTCTGCAGTCTACATCATTATTTCTTGGCCAACAGCGTGGTGTCAGCATAGAGTAACTAGAAAAGTGCTTGCTCAGAAAATCATCTCAGGCTCCAACAGACTGGTTTAATAACCCTCAGCAGACTTTTTGGTCATCAAATTAAAAAAGAAAGCTGCATATAAAACTTAATGCCAGCCACAGTGCTTGCAGCACAGTAAAAATAAACTGGAAATTAAGTATTTTTGAATCCTAAAAGGATGCTGCAACGCTTCATTTTTAGTTGTGTCACACAACTGAACTGCTTTTGCAAAATAAAATCCAGAAGAGTGTAAGAAATGAAAAAAAAGAAGGCATCAAAGCCCTAAACACACCTCCAAATCCTGCCATTCCCTTTCAGAACAAGATTGCAAAATTATTTGAGCTGCAGCTTTTGGAGAATCGTTTTTCTCCTACGGGTCAGAGCTCTCTCTGCTCTCATGCTCTCCGTACCAGCCTCTTACCGGGCACTTTGTTGATGTGCTCAAGGTTGCTCATGAGGGCCTGGGAGCTTTCAGGCAGGAGCAGGGTTTGCTGGTTGGGTTTGAAGGTCCCAGACACCAGCTTGGCCAGCACTTTGTTGGCAGCCACCCCGGCGCAGCCCGTGAGGCCCAGCCTGGCGTGCAGAGCTTCCCGCAGCTCTCGGGCCACCTGGGAGCCAAGGAGCAGCCTCACGTGCACGGGGTCCTGGAAATCCAGAGCTGCAAAGGAGAAAGCACACAGGGCTCGGAATGGAAGTAGTCACCCTGCTAAGTTTCTGTAAAAACATAGAGGGCTTTTTGCAAAACTGATGAAAATAAAATAAGTGTGGTCCCATGGGTCACATGCTGCTGCCATGGCTTCAGCATCCAAGCTTAAGCTCACTCGCAAAAACCCAGCAAAAAGAGAAAAAAGCTATTTTCCAAAAGCAGGGGTACGTTCTTCAAGAATAAATAATGTTTGGGGAGCATTTCAAATATCAAATATACACATCAAAGGCAAGTTTTAAATCAGAATCTTGCATCAGTGTAACCAAATCAGAGGTTTAGGAAGGCCTGCCAGTAAACTTCTACTACTCAGATGCAAACATTAGTGAGGAAAGAGCCTTTTGATGAAACCTCACAAGGATTCCAACTATTTTTCAGTAGAAAAAAGGCTCAACTCACCTTGGTTGTTGTATATATGGCCAGACACACATACTGTGGAGCACCCACTTTGTTGGAGCCGTTTCAGTCTTTTCTCTACAATCTCTGTGATATCCACAAAGTTTTCATCAAACCCAAGCCTTTCCACCAGTGGACAAAATTCTTCCAACAAATCTAGGAGGAAAAGACAATAACCATGGCTAATTCATACGCAACCTAAAACTGCCCCCTCTGGACACAAGAAACCCAAACACAACGCAACAATAAATAATGTTACTGCACATGCATGTATGTGAACAGAGTTGAACAGAGAGTCTTTGTCCTCTGCTGAATAACAGTTTGTACCTGTAACTTTGTACGACATTTCCCTGTATTGAGTTAGATCCTCTCCATTAACCAGTGTCAGCTGAGGAAACTTCTCTTTAGCATCCCTCACAAGCATCATTTTCTTAATTCCAAGTTTTCTGGCTTCATAGTTACACGTAACTACACAGTTTTTCTGTTGCACACCTGAAAAATAACGGTGAAGTGATTTTAAAATTCAGGTTTCGCTGTATTTCACAGAAGTCTGCAGTGTGCCACACCACTGCCAAAATCTGCAGTACGCATGCTTTGATCAGAACAGTGTTACAAAAAAAAGCAAGCAAACAAAAAAAAATACTCTTATTTCAGAAGAGAAAGATCGATCTCTTAAGCTACTGAGATGCTGATGGTGAGTGAAATGTTCTCACCGATGGTGAGAAGGTTTTAGCTCTTTTTTAGCATTTGACCATCACGCTCAATTTGGGGCCTTTTCAGACAGCTCTGTCTGGAAAAGTGCTCTATAAAGCAGTCAATTTAAGAAGTACTTTCTCCGCTCATCCTGAACACTGATGGCATTGCATTTATTCCCAACTTCGGAATGGAATAAAGCACCTTCTGAGCGTGACAGTGCCAAAAGGAGCAGACCGGCCTGTGATCTTTGCTCCTGCAACTGCTCAGACGTTGGCAAGGGAGGGTTTATCGGGATTCCCCGATGGGAATCCTCCCTCCTTGCTCCCTGTTAAAGCCACGGTGCTGCCTGGCCGCACGCAAGCCCCAAGTTAAGCAGCAGCAAACTCCTACCCAAAGGCTTGTCTCGCAAATCCGGATTCCGGAGCATTTCCACCTGCGCGTAGAAGCAGTCCAGGTCAATGTGAACGATCACCCTGCACGCCGGAACGCATTTCCCGTGGCCTGCTGCGAGGAAGGGAAATAAAGATTACCAGCAGCCTCACATACAACGCTTAAAAAAACAAGCTATACCAGCAAAGAGATACTATAAGAAGCTTTACATTACTTCTAGAATTTGTGGACGTCATCAGTCCACAGCAACACTAATAATTAGCAAAGTGCTTTCGAAAAGTTGGAGGTGTTGAGGCTCTCCCAAGGGCAGCCCGTGAGGACTGAAACGGGGCAGCTAGCAAACAGCAAACCTTATTTTTGGGGGGTAAAAAAGGCTTTTTTTTTCAGAACTGAAAGGACTTCAGTTTGAAGCCAATGTTGTCCAAATGTTAGACTCGGCATCTTTTTTTAGACTTCGGGTCATTTCTAAATATTTTTTCCTCCCTCTAAATTCCTACTGAAGTCAGCTGAGCCGACTGGGGAAGAGAGGCGATTACCGGCAGCATCACGACGACCAAAATTCCTGTTTTTTAACACTAAACTGAGCTGCGGAGCCCCCGGAGGCCGCGGTGGCAGCGAAAACGCCCATAAACGCCCACCGAAACGCGCAAAAGCAACGCGGCCGTCGAGCGGGCCGGGGCCGCTCCGCGCCCG